ACTATGTATCATGAATAGAATAGAAAATTTGTATTTTCCTAATATTAGTTTGTTATTAGTTAGTTATTTAGATTACAATTTATATAAGAGTGACTATCTACATATTATCAAATTGATACGAATCCGTGCAATAAATAGATAGACAGAGTTTCATGTTTCTGTTCCGCCTCGAATGACGCTTACTGAAGCGATCTATAAACTATTATGCCAACTAAGTAAATCTTCTTATCGATCGTTCGCACAATGCAGTTTATCGGGTTCAGAGAAAACAAATGTTACATTACCGTTGATATTTATTACAGTATAATGATATCGTGCAATTAATCGTGGCTTAATGTATGTTTAGACAATATAATAGTTAAATATTTTCAACAATATATAGTAGTAATGAAAATAATTACGTAATTTATAATCATTGAACTTCATTGAAGTAGGTAACTTCGATCATATTAGCTCCTGTAGTAGTAATATATTCTAATTATAAATACGATTTTATAATGCTTAATCATACGCAAATGTACGCATTATGTACAGTCGGTCGCGAAAGTTTTCGTACCTCTTTCGAATCGAATAAATTGTATAAAACTGGTTCAAACGATTCGAACTTTTCTCTGATGTCAAAAAGATTAGTTTACCAGCTGATGCGCGTATTTGGCCGAAATTGCGAAGATAATACTAAAGCTCGCTTTTTTTATCTTTACTTATGTGGCTTTAATAAAACTTTAAAATATGCGTTTTGCAAACGTAAATCAATTATAATTAATAATACATTCTGAAGGTGTCATCGGAATCGATGACATTGATTGTTTCAAGAATATTCAAATTTATTCAGTCGCTTGAAGCTATTTTTACGAAATTACTATCTTAAAAAGTATACGAAGACTTTTGAGACTGACTGTATATATGTTCATAGAAATTGTTTGTCTTTTGTCATAGAAATTGAATATTAAAATAGAAACCGATAGAAAGTGAAATAATGTCTTCTTTGCATTAAATAGCAAGCGTTGAAAATAATGTTAATAATAAAAATCGATCTCTGTATATTTCAAACAAATATTTAGGTCATGTAAATAACCATGAATACTTTTTTTTAAATCTACTCATAAATGCAACAGAAAGAGTATTTTGTGTTTAATGTCAAAAAAATAATACATTGTGATATGTTCAAGTTGAAGTTAAAGAGCACGTCTAAGCATACAGTGGCCCACAAAAGTGTTCATACACCTTCTAAAGTGTAATAACTTTTTTTAAACTCAACTAAGTGTCTTGAACATTTTTTAGGTGATAGAGCCACTAATTTATTAGACAATGACTAAAATGCCTTTTTTAATTTTCCTGTTATTTGGGATAACAGAAAAAGATAAGAAACTCTCGTTTTTTTAACTTTTCTATCTGAGCTTATAATGAAAATTTAAAAAATGTCTTTCGTGGATGTCGGCAACCTTTATGCATACTAAAAATTTTATTGAAATTGGTTGACGTTGTTACGAGTTACAATAAATTAACGATGGCAAAAAGCGCAGTTCTATTACGATTTTGACCAAAAACTGAAAGAAATCTGCAGTTTTCAAAATCTTTCAACGCCAGTAGCTCGACTGTGGGTTAATCAATTTCGGTCAAATTTTCAACACGCATATAAATTACCGAGATCTACAAAAGGCATTTTTTAAATTTTCGTTATAGATTCAAATAAAAAAGTTAACAAACGAGGGTTTTACATTTTTTCTTTTCATTCCAAATAATAACAAAATTTAAAAAAAAGCTTTCTAGTCATCGTCTAGTAGACTAGTCCCTTATCATCTAAAAAAAATGCAAGTTGTTTGGTTCAGTTTTGAGGAAGTTATTACGTTTTAAAAGGTGTACGAACGCTTTTGTAGGCCACTGTGTGTATCAAATGCACAGATACTGAGATTAAGAATGTTTGTGAAAGAATCTTCGTACTCCATAATGCTTGTGAGGTTAACGTTAACCACCGATAAGTTATCACCTATGCTTCTTGAATGCGCACCAGAGACTTGGGCGA